TTATAATCTAATTCTGATAGGGAAAGTGCCTTCTACTGATCTACAATTAAACCGTGACCAGTTAATGTCTCCATGGTGGAGAGCATGTCCAGCCAATGTTTCACGGCATGATTCTGACACTAAGGTGACCGCAATTAAACTATCTGTCTGATAAGCCAGCCAGTCACATTAAGATTTAACACAAATTATGTTCTACACTTGAGTGACAAATTTCACTATTAACATCCCCCTGCCTAAGAAAACTTTTACGGTCTAAAAGTTCAGAGATAGCAAACTGCTCATGATACTCAGGCTGATAATATTTAGTATGTACACAAACACTGGTAAGTTTACTTGAACAACAGTTAATTCTAAATTCTACAATATACTGTTAACTTCCTTGGATAAGGTACTTCTGTAAGACTGTCACTGTTTGTTCTTAAGGTATAAACATCACAAAACCTTAAAACACATGTCCGTGTCCACAACTGATGATACATCCAGAGTCAGTGTTCTTTTTTTTTTTTTTTTTTCTTCTTTTTCTTCTTCTTTGTTCGAGACAGTGGCCCAACAATATCCATAGCTATTTTGTAAAAAGGTTCACTGATGATCAGTGGTTGTCCTAATGGAGCTTTCTCGTCACCACGTCTTCTGGCGGTCTTTTGACATACGTTACAAGTACTGCAGTATTCCTGTATGTCCTTAAAAATCCCTGGCCAATAGAACGAATTAAAGATACGCTCTTTGGTCTTTTCTATCCCTAAATGTCCCGCAAGTGGTCTATCATGTCCCAATTTAATGATATTGAGACGTAGTGCCTCTGGTAGTACTACCTGGACTCCATGTTTGGCTCCATCACTAGACTCCCATTTCCTTCGGAGAATCCCATTTTCCCAGTACAGGGCATTCCTATCTTCCTGCACAGATTCCTCTGAACTTGCAGCTTTTCTCCGAATGTTGGCTAAAGTTGGATCTTCCTGCTGAAGCTTACTAAGCACTTCAGCATTTACAGCAGAAAGTTCAAGCGGTTCCTCTGTTGTGATGTTAACTGTATCATCCCCATTGCTGTGGGATACAGTCTCACTGATGTTGTCAATGTCCTCACCAACGCCATCGCCATGGTCCAGGTCCACATCGTTCGCCTGTCCAACATCACTTCCCTTACTGGCATCCACTTGGTCCGTGTCGGGGTCCATTCCAACTTTTACATGGCATTCCTTTGCCTTGTCCTCAGCTAGCCTTTCTTCAGCAATGTTATTACGATGTTGTGCACGCGTAACAACATTCACAGCCTTTGATTGTCTCTCTATGATGTCTACCCCCAACAGGGCTTCAGCGACAAGGCCAGGCACTAATCCGACCTGAGCATGTCCCTTATAATATGGCGTGTCCATATCAACGATAGCCAGTTTGGCTGAAAACGGCTGTCCAGTCGCTGTACATAGCGTCTCCCGCTGACCCTCCAATACACAACTTGGGTCCACCAGGTCTTCCCTAATCAAGGTCATCGCTGACCCAGTGTCTTTCACGAAACTAATATCACGGCCATTGACCTCTCCTGGGACATGGATAAGTCCTCCCGTGTATTGTCGCACTAAAAATCCTGCAAGATTTTTACCTTCTCTGTTTTTTGGACATTTCCTCGCGAAGTGCCCGTACTTGTTACAATTGTAACACTGCACACTTTTCATTTGCTCTGTCGATTGCTCCTTTCTCTGGTCCCGATCAGAGGTAAAAGTTTTTCCATTTATACTTTTACCTTGCGTTGATTTGTTTATATTCCGTTCAGGTAGAATATAATCCTCTGCGGCTTCAACCACACTGCTCGACCCTTTGTTACGGCGTATCCATTGTGCTTGTGACACTGGCAATGCACTAAGAAAATATTCCTCTTTGAATTTTCCCATGACATCCTCTACTGAGTCCACAAATCTAGTAAGATATTGTTCAATTCTTGCCATAAGTCCTCTGTATGTTTCCTTAGGTTCCCTTTGGGCTGTCTGTAATAGCTTGAAATATTGGTAGGGCCTTTTCCCGTACCTGTCCATTAGGGCTTTACAAAGTTCTTCAAATGACCCATGTGCTTGAATAGCTACCTCTCTGGCCTCACCTGTTAACAAGGTTCTCAGCTGTAGCATTTTTACTTCTTCTGTCCATCCAGCCTGTGTTGATAAAGCAGTAAACTCTGATAAGAATGTCACTATATCCTCACTTTCAGTATGATTATAAGGTTGAAGTTTCAGTCTAAACGGCACAGGGTTAGAATTTGTCTCACACCGTTCCTTTTGAAGTTTTGCTTTTTCAATCTCTAGTTCCAATTCTTTCACTTTCCTTTGATGTTCTCTTTCCTTTTCTTCGGCGTCCATTCTTATCTTTTCTCTTTCCACTTCCCTTTGATGTTCTCTTTCCTTTTCTTCGGCGTCCATTCTCATCTTTTCTCTTTCCACTTCCATCGTCATCCTTTCTCTTTCGAAATTCATTTGGCGTTCTTTTTCCTCTTTCTCTGCTTGAATTTCGAGTCTTCTTATTTCCAACTTTGTTTGTGCTGCCGTCATCTTCGCAGTTTCCGTTTCTTCAGGCGTCGACATATTAAACAGTTCTAATGAGCGTTATATCTTTGATAACGGTGTCCTTCTCCTTAGAATGATCCTTTACCGCTGCCACCAGAATATATTACCCCTCTATGTTGTACTATCCTTATGTTATACAAAAGACCAGCAACAACCGTTCTCAAGTACAAATGTTGAGTATTAACACAAGTTACAACAATGATAACATGTATGGCCTGAGTATCGAGCTTAACAAGTTACTCCTTCCACGGCCACACCAGGACTGACTCTATTTGCTGTGATCTTACAGTTTATCCTAAAGCAATTATAATCTAATTCTGATAGGGAAAGTGCCTTCTACTGATCTACAATTAAACCGTGACCAGTTAATGTCTCCATGGTGGAGAGCATGTCCAGCCAATGTTTCACGGCATGATTCTGACACTAAGGTGACCGCAATTAAACTATCTGTCTGATAAGCCAGCCAGTCACATTAAGATTTAACACAAATTATGTTCTACACTTGAGTGACAAATTTCACTATTAACACTTGCCATCAACAATTTAGAGATAAAGGGTGAGGATACTGGGCATGTAGCAAGCTGAGATGAAAGGTAATACTGTTTCTTCAAATGAATAACTTTGACCTTTTTCTGGCGTTGTACGCGAAGTACTTTGAGGAATCATAAGAAATTTGAATTCATGTCAATATCGTTTGTGTAAAATATAGTGTTGTTAGTAACCTGACGTAACCTGACAAATTCATAGTTGGGTTATGTTATATTGTAGAATTCCGCTTACTGCATACTTTATACTTCCCACCATGGAAAGCATGGGTAAAAAAAATAAATTTAAAAAAGGAAGGAAATCACACGCTACACAGCTTGAAAAATTATATCAGTCGGGTCCCATACATTCAAATTGTCCTGATCCTCAAAGAATTGTTTGCATTGAAATAAACATCCAAAGAATATTCAGCTGATTTGTAAACAAAACACCCACAAGTTACCTTTTTATGACAGTGCATTGTAATCCTTGTGCCTATTATGGCAGCTATCGACGGATTGATACATTTAGTATTGAGCCGTGAGTATCCTGGTAGCGAGACTCACGCATACCATGATTGCATACACTGTAGAATGTTAATGATATATGCAAAAAAAGGATGTATCTGTTTAGTATATCAAAAGTCATTTCTAGTTTATATTTACAACCGGAAATGAAGAAGATTAGTACAAGCTAAGTCTGCTTTCTGAACTAACTGTATATAAAATCGCTATACAAAAAAGTAAAAATTGACATACGATAGATGCACATGTTAACTACAGAAACACAATGAATAAGTGGGGTATTAGTGTGCGGAGGCTGAAAAATAGTTCTTTTTTTCATTCAAATCTTCTGTTGTTTTTTCGAGGTGGGGAAATTTCCTGTCACTTGTATCTTGTTACACATGACTTTTCAATATCGTACATATCTACTGGAGAAAGTGAAAGATATCATAAACATTTATTAACGCAATGATCTTTTTATGTTAACAATACGTACTTGATAATATTCATCGACAACGTCGTTTCTATTTCCGATCAGTCTTTTACATTATCACATATTTACGGTCAAATATCATACCAATCGGAATATGGCCTCCTCTGGGGGTTAAAATAACCGCAAACAGAACATGATAAACTTTGAGGGCGCACCTCGGAGATGTGACGAATTTGTCACACGTACAGGCTACACAACTTTCCCTCATTGACAACTTTTTCAGTTAGAGGGTGTCGCGATATTCAAACCCCCGTGTATACAATTGACTTATCAGTCTCATATCGAATCCTTTATTCAAACTCCAACCCGACCACCTTTACCCTACCTTCTCTCAGTTCTCTCATAGCTCATTCTTCTGCCTCGACGCCGCACTCGTTCCCTATTTGCTATATTACTATAGTAGACATATTGTCATACACACACGAATTTATCCAATTATCAACCCGACATTGTAATAATACGGTTCTGCAGGATATTGATCTACCTGCAGTTATTATATCTTTTATCGTTTTTATTGACCTGGCAGCTCTCATGCATGTAGTTGTCACGAGTAACGTAAAAGCAGATCGATTCTTCAATGATCAACAGACTCAAAATAGCATTGCCATTGTCAAAAAAAAAAAAAAAAAAAGAAAACCCAATGGAGGAATTTTTCATTTATCTCAATTTAATAGAAATCAAGATCTCATTATTTCTAGGGGAAAAGATTCGTCCTAAAGCGTGTTTGTAAACGCACAATTCATATGTGTTTTCATAATCTAGTTTACACATACTAAGTAAAACTTTCAGAGAGTGGGCTCCTATCAATATCCTTGTATTTGCTGTTATATGTTTTGTAAGGGTATGTAAGTTAGCAATAGCCACCTGACAAAATGGGTGTCATATGATCAATTTGTTCTATGTTTTGTTCACTTGAATATCGTTATTTTTCGACTAGACAATCAATTAATCAATTCATTCATCATCATTCTTTTCATCGTTCTCGTCGTCAAAAGTCGCTCAAAGTCATTTTTCTGAATCCGAAAGATGATAACTTTCAAAACAATGTTTTTGTTCCAGATTATAAATCGAAATCTTCACATGTCGTTGAAATTTATTGAAGACTCAATCTTAACAAGGTGTATCTTGTTTATTTATTTTTATTTTAAGCTCGTAACCTTATTTAGCGGCAGTGTTCACACACTGTAACATATGCACACATACTTACACTCTCGACTGATACTAAGGGTGTTTCCTGTTATGAAAAGCATTTAAGTAATGGAAACTGACAACTCGATTATCACTCGGCATAGAATATCGGAGATACATAGCCTGTCATTGGGTCCCATAGAAGTGTAAGTACAGTACTCTGACCTATTTGTAAACACAACCACATTAACACGAATTGCAGTGGAAAAAGGCCTAGACGGCTCTACCCTCACAAAGAAACAGAAACCAAACAGGAAAACTAGACTGCTTGACATGGGTGACCCGTTTCGCGCAATTTACTGTGACTGAAGTGTTCTTTTTCAAGAGACCGGAGCAAATTTTGTGTATGTGTTTTAACACATGTCTGAATCATCCTGAAAGTGTGTTCTTTTTGCAGGTTATATAAATTCATTGGAATTTCTTTCTAATTTGGAATGTTGATATTTGAAGCAGACAATACTGTTGTAACCAGTCATGTGTGAGTCACTGAGTGATCAAGCAACGAGGAACCGCATACACAAGTCAGCTACCTAGGGTAAGTGTTAAAGCTATTTGTTATAAGGAAATGAGGAAACCTGCACGAAATTTGTAAATGATTGTAAACTCACTTGTCACTTGTTGAAACACCTGGCCATACCTATAGTCGTCTGTTACATGTAGTCTTGTTTCCTAGGGAGCATTACACTACCTAGTATTCATTCGATTTTTCTGTGCTTGCACTGTTTCATTTCCCTGTGTGACAACTCGTTGAATATACAAATGATTCTAAATGTTTTCACTGATATCTATTTGTGACTATCGGATCAGATAGTGCGTCCGGTTTAGTACAAAATATTTTTGTTTTCAATGCCGGAATTTGCATCGCAAAATACACCGTTAAATGAGAGTTAATACAGCTTTCGCCTTACTAAATCTGGTTCAAAGTGTAACGACCAGACTTATGGAGAGGGACATACTCCTACATCTCACTGTGTAGACCTGGGGAGGACAAACTCCAACATAACATTGTATAGATCTTGAAAAGGACTTACTCAAACATCCAATTATTTATACCTAGAGAGGGACATAATCTTAAATCCCATTGTATAGACCTGGAGAGGGACATACTCCTACATCTCACTGTGTAAACCTTGGGGAGGGATATATTCCTGCATTCCATTGTGTAGACCTGAGGGGATACTCTTATATCATATTGTGTAGACCTGGGGAGGGACATACTCTTATATCCCATTGTGTTGACCTTGGGAGGGACATACTCTTATATCACATTGTGTAGACCTGGGGAGGGACATACTCTTATATCACATTGTGTAGACCTGGGGAGGGACATACTCTTATATCCCATTGTGTAGACCTTGGGAGGGACATACTCTTATATCCCATTGTGTAGACCTTTGGAGGGACATACTCATATATCACATTGTGTAGACCTGGGGGTATACTCTTATATCACATTGTGTAGACCTGGAGAGGGACATACTATTATATCACATTGTGCAGAACTGGGGAGGGACATACTCTTATATCCAAGTGTGTAGACCTTGGGAGGGTTTACTCTTATATCACATTGTGTAGACCTGGGGATACTCTTCTATCACATTGTGTAGACCTGGGGAGGGACATACTCTTATATCACATTGTGTAGATCTGGGGAGGGACATACTATTATATCACATTGTGCAGAACTGGGAAGGGACATACTCTTATATCCAAGTGTGTAGACCTTGGGAGGGTTTACTCTTATATCACATTGTGTAGACCTGGGGATACTCTTCTATCACATTGTGTAGACCTGGGGAGGGACATACTCTTATATCACATTGTGTAGACCTGGGGGTATACTCTTATATCACATTGCGAGACCTGGGGAGGGACATACTCTTATATCACATTGTGTAGACCTGGGGGGTACTCTTACATCCAAGTGTGTAGACCTGGGGAGGGACATACTCTTATATCACATTGTGTAGACCTGGAGGGACATACTCTTATATCACATTGTGAAGACCTGGGGGGCATACTCTTATATCACATTGTGTAGACCTGGGGAGGGACACACTCTTATATCACATTGTGTAGACCTGGGGAGTGACATACTCTTATATCACATTGTGTAGACCTTGGAAGGGACATAATCTTATATCCAAGTGTGTAGACCTTGGGGGGTACTCTTACATCCAAGTGTGTAAACCTGGGGAGCGACATACTATTATACCACATTGTGTAGACTTGGGGGATGCTCTTACATCCATGTGTGTAGACCTGGGGCGTATACT